GATCCGATCCGGCCTTGGCGGATGCCGGATCCGCTACACGGATCTCTACCCTATTTTTGAAGAACCTAGTAAGTGTCAAGGTGACGAAACGGAGAAAAACGAGGAAACGTTAAAGTGTGCTAGCCTAAGCAAATGCGCATAACATGCATCAACCTGAATAGTGTTTCTATATGTATTTTATGTGCGCAATTCAGAAATGCCATCCAAATTTTTCAAATGCTTACCGATAATGTAAATGTGGACTTGCTAGATTAGCTGTGGCATTGGACGAAGAGGGAAAACCTAGCATGGTTACTTACTACGTTTTTCTGTGCCAGATGTGCTTTATCTATGAAATAGGTTGTCAACAAAACTGAAACAGTTGTCATTTCAAGAATGCTCCCATGAAGAAATTCTCTGTAGTTTTGTGCTCATCTTACCTTGCTGAACCATTTCCTGCTCTTAGTTTTGTATTTAAATCAAAAATGAAGATTTTTCCTTAAAAAAGGCTGAAAAGTGGGTGGGTCTCCGCCCCCCCCCCCCCTGTTCCTACGCCTATGGACCAGACGGCTCATAAAGAAGTGATTTTCACGAGTGCTGTTCACGGGCACGTGCCGTAGCTGCAGCTCGGTGTTTACCCGTGGCCATAGATCCCGCGGCTGACCGCCGAGCCGCAGCTACCGCAGGTCCCCGTGAACAGGGCCACGGTCTTTTTTTTTAGAAGTTACACCTGCATATCTGCAGTGTACGCCATCTCATCATCATGCTGGCTGACTACAGTGCCTCGGCATGCATCAGTATCTCTCGTTATCTTCAACACAACCCAAATCAAAATAGTTTATCCTACTAACGCACTTCACACACCCTAATATCGTGCTCTTTAGACGTATTCGGTATCGCAGAGGCAGACGTAGATTACACTGGGTCCCTCAGGAACTCCTCGGGAACGTCAGGAAGAGGTGCAGGGATACTGGATCCGGCACCCCTGCCACTCGTACCACCGGGGCTCGGCGGCTCGGCACACGCAGCAGATGTCGGCCCACTCAAGGACACCGCGAAAGTTTGTCAGTGTGGCTCTCCACAGTTCAAAAATCGGGGTTCACACTGATAAGTTGCAATAGGGACTCCGGGGCGGTGAAGCGAAGTTTAGGTTTTCTAGAGCACATCAAGTTGCTACATGCATCAACCTTGATGTGCCATCAAGCTCGCTCATGTAGCCAGCAGTAACAGACAGACCCAACCAGAGGAGTGGGCTTCCTAAAGCGCGGAAGTCGCGAATGGGCAAGAACCTAGTATGCGACACTTTATCACAATGCACATCAGCGCAAAATGGGGTGTTCAGGTCTCTTTGGTCGAGGTAAAACCTAGCATGCAGGGGAGTGTCTAAAAAGCAGACGAGATTAGCAGACGAGCCCATGCTCAGTAACTACTGGACCGATTTTGATAATTCTTTCACCATTCAATAGCAGGGAACTCATATAGGTGCCGTTTATCGTTTTTTGGCGATTGGTTCACTCTGACTGGACCAATCGGACCAAAATGGTCCAGAACCATACACCCCCTTAAAAGCAGACGAGCCCATGTTCCGAAACTACTGAACCGATTTCGATAAAACCTTCACCATTAGATGCGCCGTGGTCTGAAACGGTGCCGTTTTCAATAATATTTTGATTGGTCTACCCTAAGTGGTCCAAATCGGTCCAATACCCCTAAAATCTGTTGCAGACGAGCCCATGCTCCGAAACTACTGGACCGATTACGATGAAACCTTCACCATTAGACGCGCCGTGGTCTGAAACGGTGCCGTTTTTGATAATTTTTTGATTGGTCCACCCTAAGTGGTCCAAATCGGTCCAAAATCGCTCAAATCTGTTGCAGACGAGCCCATGCTCCGAAACTACTGGACCGATTTCGATGAAACCTTCACCATTAGACGCGCCGTGGTCTGAAACGGTGCCGTTTTTGATAATTTTTTGATTGGTCTACCCTAAGTGGTCCAAATCGGTCCAAAACCCCTAAAAACTGTTGCAGACGAGCCCATGCTCCGAAACTACTCGACCGATGTCGATGAAACCTTCACCATTAGACGCGCCATGGTCTGTACCGGTGCCGTTTTTGATAATTTTTTGATTGGTCCACCCTAAGTGGTCCAAATCGGTCTAAAACCCCTAAACTCTTTTGCAGACGAGCCCATGCTCCGAAACTACTGGACCGATTTCGATGAAACCTTCACCATTAGACGCGCCGTGGTCTGAAACGGTGCCATTTTTGATAATTTTTTGATTGGTCCACCCTAAGTGGTCCAAATCGGTCCAAAACCGCTAAAATCTGTTGCAGACAAGCCCATGCTCCGAAACTACTGGACCGATTTCGATGAAACCCTCACCATTAGACGTGCCGTGGTCTGAAACGGTGCCGTTTTTGATAATTTTTTGATTGGTCCACCCTAAGTGGTCCAAATCGGTCCAAAAACCCTAAAATCTGTTGCAGACGAGCCCATGCTCCGAAACTACTCGACCGAATTCGATGAAACCTTCACCATTAGACGCGCTGTGGTCTGAAACGGTGCCGTTTTTGATAATTTTTTGATTGGTCCACCCTAAGTGGTCCAAATCGGTCCAAAACCGCTAAGATCTGTTGCAGACGAGCCCATGCTCCGAAACTACTGGGCCGATTTCGATGAAACCTTCACCATTCGACGCAACGTGGTGTAAAACGGTGCCGTTTTCGATAATTTTTTATTGGTTCACCCTAAGTGGTCCAAATCGGTCCAAAACCCCTAAAAACTGTTGCAGACGAGCCCATGCTCCGAAACTACTGGACCGATTTGGATGAAACCTTCACCACTCGACGCGCTGTGGTCTGTACCGGTGCCGCTTTTGGATAATTTTTTGATTGGTCCACCCTAAGTGGTCCAAATCGGTTCAAGTACAGCCCAAAAATACGTTTTCATGCAGTCAACCGATGAGCTGGTTTCCGCAGCGCGGAGGTGCCCCAGGCCCAATTAGCATGCATTTTTGCTCTAGTTTGGGAAGCAAAATGCATGACAATGGGTTTGGGGCACCTCTGTGCTGCAGAAATCTATCCGGACTCTGACAAAGTACAAACGGGTTTTAGGCATTTTGGGCCGATTTGGACCACTTAGGGTGGACCAATCAAAAAATTATCAAAAACGGCACCGTTTCAGACCACGGCGCGTCTAATGGTGAAGGTTTCATCGAAATCGGTCCAGTAGTTTCGGAGCATGGGCTCGTCTGCAACAGATTTTAGCGGTTTTGGACCGATTTGGACCACTTAGGGTGGACCAATAAAAAAATTATCAAAAACGGCACCGTTTCAGACCACGGCGCGTCTAATGGTGAAGGTTTCATCGAAATCGGTCCAGTATTTTCGGAGCATGGGCTCGTCTGCAACAGATTTTAGGGGTTTTGGACCGATTTGGACCACTTAGGGTGGACCAATAAAAAAAAACTATCAAAAACGGCACCGTTTAAGACCACGGCGCGTCTAATGGTGAAGGTTTCATCGAAATCGGTCCAGTAGTTTCGGAGCATGGGCTCGTCTGCAACAGATTTTAGCGGTTTTGGACCGATTTGGACCATTTAGGGTGGACCAATCAAAAAATTATCAAAAACGGCACCGTTTCAGACCACGGCGCGTCTAATGGTGAAGGTTTCATCGAAATCGGTCGAGTAGTTTCGGAGCATGGGCTCGTCTGCAACAGATTTTAGGGGTTTCGGACCGATTTGGACCACTTAGGGTGGACCATTCAAAAAATTATTAAAAACGGCACCGTTTCAGACCACGGCGCGTCTAATGGTGAAGGTTTCATTGAAATCGGTCCAGTAGTTTCGGAGTATGGGCTCGTCTGCAACAGATTTGTGCGGTTTTGGACCGATTTGGACCACTTAGGGTGGACCAATAAAAAAATTATCAAAAACGGCACCGTTTCAGACCACGGCGCGTCTAATGGTGAAGGTTTCATCGAAATCGGTCCAGTAGTTTCGGAGCATGGGCTCGTCTGCAACAAATTTTAGGGGTTTTGAACCGATTTGGACCACTGAGGGTGGACCAATCAAAAAATTATCAAAAACGGCACCGTTTCAGACCACGGCGCGTCTAATGGTGAAGGTTTCATTGAAATCGGTCCAGTAGTTTCGGAGTATGGGCTCGTCTGCAACAGATTTGAGCGGTTTTGGACCGATTTGGACCACTTAGGGTGGACCAATCAAAAAATTATCGAAAACGGCACCGTTTCAGACCACGGCGCGTCTAATGGTGAAGGTTTCATCGAAATCGGTCCAGTAGTTTCGGAGCATGGGCTCGTCTGCAACAGATTTTAGGGGTTTTGGACCGATTTGGACCACTTAAGGTGGACCAATCAAAAGATTATCAAAAACGGCACCGTTTTAAACCACGGCGCATCTAATGGTGAAGGTTTCATCGAAATCGGTCCAGTAGTTTCGGAGCATGGGCTCGTCTGCTTTTAAGGGGGTGTATGGTTCTGGACCATTTTGGTCCGATTGGTCCAGTCATAGTGAACCAATCGCCAAAAAACGATATACGGCACCTATATAAGTTCCCTGCTATTGAATGGTGAAAGAATTATCAAAATCGGTCCAGTAGTTACTGAGCATGGGCTCGTCTGCTAATCTCGTCTGCTTTTTAGACACTCCCGCATGCAGCAACTTGTCACATACTGTGTTTTTCTTTGTCAAACCGAAGACGCCACTGGACTTGCTATATTCTACCCCTTTAATATCTCAGTTTTGGAGAAAGTTATGAAAAAAGCGATACCGGAAACGAATCCGTCGTTCCCGAAAACCCCCGTTAGCATCTCTAACTCATTTTTGTTTACATTGGCGCTTACTATGTTTTTCCTTGACACGGTAGATCTTGCACGGATCCCCCGTCGTGGGTTGTCGCTCCGCAGTTGCCTAGCAACCTGTCGTTACCAGGATAATTTATTAAAAAACATGCTATCGAACAGCGGTTTTTTGTATGCACGCGATATATTCGCAATGCACGCGATGCGCAGCGCACGTGCACACGGGTATTGGGTAGGTAATTGCGGTGATTACAAGATACCTATAAGAAACGGTAATTGCAAGTAATCTTGGGTAATTGCAAGGTGATTGCACGGGTAATTAATATCTGTAAGAATCTTGGGTAATTATACTTACACTAATGGATACCAAGTCTCCATTCGTGTTAGTATTTCTGCATTTTTGGTGAGTTTTGTCTTGCGTAGTTTGCATGATGTTTTTTTTGTATTAAAATGCACTGGCAGTACCTACCTACAAACCAGTTTGGGTCAAATCACTCTTTTGCACCCTAGGCTCAAAAGGTAGTAGTAGAGCAGACGTCACACGAAGGTTTTCCAACCAAGGAGAGGAGCCATACACGGAGGTGCTTCCTTCTAGGAAAGCCTAAATAAATCTAACCTAACCTGACCTAACCTAACCTACAACCTACAAACCTACCCTACAACCTACAAACCTACCCTACAACCTACAAACCTACAGCGCCTCTCCTCGGTTGGAAAACCTTTGTGTGACGTCTGCTCTACTAATGGCGGCTCAAAATTGAATAAAAACCACACCATACTGTCACAAACCATGTATCAACCTAGAAAATTGTCTTTACAATCATTTAATGCTAAAAAGATCAGGTATGACCTTCAGGTCACTAACAGACACCAATCACCTTGGTATTTTCTTTAAAAGGAAATATGACTCACTTTCTCTAAATAAGTTTTTTCAATGGATTCATGATTGTTTTATGCCCAAAATTTCAGCAATTGCGCTTTATTGTTCAAGCCATTTTCCTATTAATAATAATTTAAGGAACCCTCCCTTTCACACCAGTAGTATAATACCCCCTCAAATTTTATACAAAAGCCAGATTTTTGCCCAAAAATGTATGAATACTGGTCAGGGGGCCATGAATTTGAGTCCCATGAAGAACAGTCACTAGGCATCAGTGTCCCCCCCCTCCCACACTTGAAGAAAGAAGGGGCACTAACAGTGTGTTCCACCATCACTTTCCCAGCTTCAGTCATTCCTGAGCATATGGGGATGGGGTAGGGTCCTTTGAACTTTGAAGCATAGGAGGAATGGGGTCAGGGGTGGGGTCAGGGCTGCACTGGGGCACTGTGACCCTTGGTTTGCCAGAAAGGCGACAAAAGTGAAGTTTCCCAGAGTTCAGTGAGTTTCCCCTTAAATTTTTATGCAAAACAGTCAGAGTTTTGCTCAAAGATTTATGAATAGGGTCAATGTAAGTTGTAGGCTGGTACCTTACCTTACCTTACCTTACCTTGAAGGTCATCGGGATAGAAAAGGCCACTTGGCCTATAGGTCCCGTTCTCACCGAGTTACTTGCAGAGACATTCAGGACTCGTAAGGTTGTGGCATGACATACATTAGGTGGGTCCAGTGATGGTCGAGTCGTGCCTTGAATGTCGAGAGTGTTTCGGCTGATACGACCTCAGCAGGTAGAGCGTTCCAGTCGTTGATGATGCGGACGCTAAAGCTGCTTCGTCGGGCGAGAGTCACAGCTCGGGGTTTGAGCAGCTTCCACCCGTGTCCTCTCGTCAGCTCGGTCTCGTTCTTGGTGAAGAAGGTCGTTGCCGGCACATCGATTCCACCGTGGAACAGCTGGTAGACCGTCAGCATGTCTCCCCTGCGGCGGCGGTAGAACAACGACGGCAGTCGGAGACGCTCCAGACGCTCGGGGTAGGGAAGGTGCTTGATGGATTCCACCATACGCGTGGCGCGTCTCTGGACCTTTTCTAAGCGTTTCTGGTCTCCTTTGCTGAACGGTCCCCAGACGGCGTTCCCAAACTCCAGAAAGGGGCGGACGAGAGCCTTGTAGAGCAAGGGTAGGGTCGTCTCATCGATGTGAGCGAAGGATCGCTTGATGACCGCGAGCAGCTGTGAGGCTTTTGAAACGGCCGCGGCCGTTTGCGTATGAAACTTCAGCTCAGAGTCGATTATGATCCCCAGATCCCTTTCTTCGTCTACCACAGCGATGGGCGTCCCGTTCAGCCTATATTCGTGTGCAGGGTTTCTTGAGCCCATGTGCATCACCTTACACTTTCCTGCGTTGAACGGCAGCAGCCACCTTGAGGACCATCGTGCCAGAGCGTCCAGATCACCCTGCAGGCCAGCACCACGATCGGATGGATTTGTCAGTGGCTTGTATAGCTTCGTGTCATCCGCGAACATCTTCATATTGCTTGAGACCTCTAGTGGCATGTCGTTGACGTATATTGTGAACAGCGTCGGCCCCAATACTGAACCTTGGGGGATACCGCTGGAGACAGGTGCCCACTCCGAGTTGCAGCCCTGAATCAGCACCCGTTGACGACGGCCAACTAGGAAGGTCTGTATCCAGGTGAGAAGTTTACCTCCGACACCATACGACCTCAGCTTCTCGAGAAGACGTTTGTGCGGCACCGAGTCAAATGCTTTGGCGAAATCTAGGTAGACCACATCCACCGGGGTTCGGTCTTCCAAGGCAGCGGTCCAGTCTTCCAGTACCTCAAGCAATTGGGAGCTACACGAACGCTTTGCCAGGAAACCATGCTGAGCTCTGTGAAGCAGGCCGTTTGCTGACATATGGTGCAGGAGCTCATCCCTTATGACAGATTCGAGGACCTTACAACAGACGGATGTCAGGCTCACCGGTCTGTAGCTGGATGGTAGGCGGCGATCTCCTTTCTTGAATATCGGAGTCACGTTGCCGATCTTCCACTCTGGGGGGACATCCCCGGAGTCCAGCGATTTCCTGAAGATCCAGCTCAGTGGGTGGGAGAGGACGGCTGCATTCTCCTTTAGTACGCGAGGGTGAAGGCCATCGGGTCCTGGCGAGCTGTGTGCCCGCAGCGCTGCCAGCTTAGTGTGTACCCGTAGCGGGGAGATTTCGACGTCCTCCAGAAGCGGTCCGTGATGGGGGCGCTCCAGGACAGGGATGGTGTCTGACGCTTCTTCGACGAAGACGCTACTGAAGTATCTGTTCATGGCGTTAGCTTTTGCCTTATCAGAAGACACCGTTTCTCCATTCTCGTCTTCTAGGTCGCCGATGCCATTTTTGGTCTTGAGGCGTGAATTTGCATACCGCCAGAAGCACTTCGGGTTATCTTTGATTGACAGTACCAGCTTTTGCTCATGTTGTCTCCGGAGGGCTCTGGTCACGTTCCTCAGGTCGTTTCGACACCTGACGTACCTGGCGTGATCAAGTTCATCGTGGCTTCAGCAGTAAGTGCTCCACAATAGCCTTTTCCTTTTCCTTAGTTGGAGGGCTTGGCGGTTCATATATATGTTATGGTCAGAGGCCTTCTTTCTGATGCTGGAGCATGACTCAATGGCTGCACAGATTGACGAGCTAAAGAAGGTGTGAGCTTCTTGAGTACTCATGTTCCTCATCACCGCCCAGTTGCACGATTTAAGCACATTAGTCAATGAACGATAGTTGGTGCGAGAATACATGCGTGGCAGCGAGGATGGCGCAGGTGCGTAGCACATCAATGTGAAGGTAAGGATCACATGATCACTTCTACCCAGGGCAGGGCCGTACTCAAGGTTGCGAACCATACCCTCCTCATTGGTAAATACTAAGTCCAGAGTACTTGGCCTCTCTCCAAGCCTGTAACGTGTGGGCTGGGTAACGTGTTGGAACAGGTAACAGTCCTGGATCGTCTCCACAAAGGAGTGTGTGGCTGAAGGAGATGCACCAGTTGCCCAGTCAATGCCAGGAAGATTGAAGTCGCCAATGATGACAAGGTGTGAGAAGGGGGCTGCAGCTGCTTGGCATATCAGCTGCTCCAGCCTTTTAATACTTTCTTCTTGGGAGCCAGATGGGCTTCGGTAGATGCACCCTATCAACAAGTGATCTGTTCCTTGTATGGTAGGTTGTAGGCTAGTACCTGTAGGTAAGGTTAGATCAGGTTAGATTATGTTTTTATCATTTGGACTTCTACACTTTTACTGCTTGAGCCATGCATGCAGAATTTCAGGCATGCCTACTCCATGCAATGTTGATGTTAATGTCTGATTCATCAAGTTATTTGGATTTGGGGAAAATGAAATGCTGAACATGCTCAATTGTTGCAGACAAGATTACTGATTACTGGTTGCAGAGTCATGGTACCTATATATAGACTCTGCCAGTGTATATACACAGCCATTCTTTGTTCAGCTTTCACTGCTGAACTTTATTCTCCCAGTGGACATGCTAGCTATGATAGTGACATAGTCTGTTCCACCATGAACTTTTGGTCAAAATTATGTCATTAATCCTCTTTGCTCAATAATTTGCATCTTTAAATGTAAGAGCTATATTTACATGTTTTTGCACTGCTTTCAGCATGACACTTTAAAGGGACACTCCCACCTTAACATTAGTTTTGAGTTGAGATAGCCAAATTGGTGGCCATGGCCTGCAAATACCGGTTTGGGCACTCACAACATCGACAAATGCTTTAATTCGGAGATATGGAATTTCAAACTTGCAGTTTTTGGATTCTAAGGGGCTAGTGCATTGGTATGCCCCCTTAGAATTTGTGACGTCAGCGGAGATCTAACGATTTTTAAATCTTTTACTAAAACGTTTGGTAGCACGCGGTGGTATATGCTGCTTTGCGCGCAACAAATGCCGCACTTTCAAATAAAGTCGCTAGGAACAGCGGAGATCCCAAAAAGTAAACAAAAGTAAAAGTCTAATATCTTGAAAATCGGTGAATATTTTTCGATGAAATTTGGTAGATATTCGTTTTCGCTCTTTCTGAACCGAGCGACATCACTTTCGTGCCAATTCATTAACTTTTTTGAAGGTGGGAGGGTCCCTTTAACTGCAAGCTTGATATGGAAGACCAGACATGGCATGACATGGATCCCAGGACAACCAATGACGAAAACTGAGATGATCATTAGATTGATGGTTTTCAAGTCTGGAATTATGGTGGAAAAATGGCTAATAGAAGCCTTTCAATGAACCAATTATTTTGCTTTTCTTCAGACTAGTTTACAGTTCTGAGAAAATTCCTCAATATCCATCTTGGATCCATCATCCCTATTGCCTTTTTACCGGTGAACCAAGGAGTAAATTCAACAGGACCACACTTGGGGCATGATCTGCTCCTCCCTTTAAAAGTTTAGAAAATTGTAGAATCTTGTTGGGGAGTATGCCCAATGCCCATTGCCCATGCACACCTCTCTAGAGATATGGAAGG